ATATAAGGTGTAAGTCCGACTAAGCCGCCATATGAGTATGCAAATGCTGGCTGTCCTTGAATAAACATCGTTGAGACATATGATACAATACAAACCGTCTTATGATCAGAGGCAAACTGTTGTATTTCATGACATCCAGCAGGCGAAAATAATTTGGCTGGGTTCTATTGTAACCTGTTTTCGGAATTTATTCATTTCGACTTGCGTCAAGAGGGGAATCGGACGTATCTAACATCGGGTCGTGATATCAATCTTTATAGTTCAAATATAAACTTAGTTGGCCCGCCCGCAGACAGAAACCGAAAGGCTTAACTGGCCCCAACTCTTGGTTTCTATGGATCCCGGTGCCAGCCTCAACATCATCTTGGGATCGGTTTTGTTAAAATTAATTCTTTTAATGCCATCCAGCTGCGTGTGTAGTTGGCAACTGAAAATAAAAGTGATTCGTTTCAGCTTAATTTGTGTGTTTAGTTATACCCTTTGGTCGTAGAGTATAAGGGTATACTAGTTTCATCGGAATGTAAGTAACAAGTAGAAGGACCGACCCTATAAAGTTTATATATTCTTGCTCAGGATCACTAGCCGAGTCGAACTAGCCATGTCTGTCCGTTCGTATGAATGCTGAGATCTCGGATAATATAAAAGCTAGAACGTTGGGTTTCGGCATACAGATTCTAGAGGTTCTTGCGCAGCACAAGTTTATTTCAGAAGGCTGACACGCCCACTCTAACGCCCACAAACGCACAATTAATATTTTGTAAAAGTGTAAATGGGATTTTGTTTTGATTATCAGTACCCATTATGTCAATAATTGTTTAAATCTGACTATTCAGTAAAAAGTTATAAGCCATTAAAGTGTCCCCTATAGAAAACAGTCGATTTTTTCCATGCATATCTCCATCTCCCTCGCACTACTTATGGGTGAGTAACGGGTATCTATTAGTCGAGGCCATCGCCTATAGCGATCTTTCTTGTTTTATATTTGTTTTTACTATTCCTATGGCACTACCATATCATCGGCTTAAACTCGTTTTGTGCCGCTGATGAATGCCCATCTGTTGCCGCTATAATTGTTATTAATCTGTTACTCTTTAATGGCATAATTAAATAAAAATAAAACGCCAATATGTAAAGCAGGCCCACGCCTCCTATTTTTCTGGTCGCTTGAGTTGAGGCGCAGACATGTTCATGAGCACTGTCCATCAAAAACGCAATCTACATACAATGATCGATCTACAAATCGAAACCACGAGAGGTGGGCGTGGGCAAACTGAACCTAGTTTGCTGAAACAAGAGATATATTTTCGAAGTTGATTTTATATCGAGTGGAAGAATGGTATACACTCTATTGTTGTTATTCAAACCAAGCGTATTGATTTGTTTTAAATGATACATTTTATTAAAGACAAATATATAGATTTACCATACATCATTATTTTGAGTTAAATATATTTATGATTTAAATTTCACCTTGTATTAAACAAAACTATTGAATTTAAGACCACCCTTGAGCATACTCTATCCCATATTAATTAATGTTTTGTTCCCAAATTACTATAATTTATGATTTCCCAAATGCTTTGCTAGCCAATAAATTAACTATAACTCCACCAAAACATATTGGATGCAAAGCAATTAGTGGGATTTCCTATTTGGTTAATTTGCAGAAAATTAAAACGGGTGTGCTGTAGCATTTTGGCATTTGATTCCGTTCATTTGTTTGCGGGGCTTGTGCCAAATCGAGCAAAAACCACAAATGGCAAAATGGCAGCAAACACAAAACGGAAGATTAATGAAACTCGAGTGCATAGAAATCGGCGAATCTGCGGCTATATGGCAAATCCAATGTTAATGGCGCTTTAAACCGCCCAAACCGTTGTCAAAAATGGCTCGATTCTCTTGCAGTTAAGTTTTTTTTCGCCAAACTTTTACTTCCGCCAGCGAGGAAATATTCATCTTTTGTGTTTCTTCTGAATGGTTTAATTGATTTTCTGCACAACACACTTGAGGCGACATTAATTGCTCGTCGTAGGCCCGAACAAGTAGCATTTGATGTCTATGGAAATATATAAATAAATTGCTTTTAAATGAAACAAGAGATTAAAATAACGCATAATTGAACAAAGGAGCCAACAAAGAACGTTTATGGCTTCAAATGGATTCGTTGCCCAGGGCAAAGTTAGAACGCCATGTTAATTGAATTAACCAAATGTATTATGCTGCATTTAGCAAAATTAATTTCCATAAATGCTCAATCGATCATTATTATCATTAAACGATTCTGTGCGAGTGAATTTCACTTTTTGGTTTCACTTTTATTATTATCTTCGAAACTTGTTTCGCTCTTATGACATAATACACCGTCTAGTGAGTGAGTTACCCTAAACCAAGCCCCATACATATATCCGGTTCACTTCTAGCCGCAGTCGAATGAAACAGTTGAGAATTTTTTTAGCCAAAAAAAAGAACAACACTTATAATTATTAAGTTTTATGCCAGCTGCCAGAGCGCTTAGTATTTTATTTATTCCACGGGGGGTAAACTAGTTTTTCGCGAAATATGAAATGTCCGTTTAGTAGGTGCTAAATGTACAGGTAACTGGCTTTCGGGAAGCGGCTTTATCAATCTGAAAAAGTCGTCACAGTTTAATATCTTATTTTACTACCTTGTTGTGAGTTCAAAAGTTCGGGACTTCAACACAAGCCGCAAACATTTTCAGAGTTCAACAAACGATGAGCTAGAAAAAATCATGTTACCAAACTTATTGGCTCAAGTTTTAGACATCCGTTTGATCTGTTCGAGTGTTTGTTTTGCTCTATTTGAGTATTTGTATATATAAGTTTAATCCACTAAATGCCCAAATACATTTTGTTTTTTTGGCAGCCTGTAAACTGGTTCGGTTCAATTCGAGAATTTGCATAATGTATTTAACATTTACCGTTATGCATTCATAATGAAATAAATCGAGAGAAATTGAATAAAAAGCATGTGGCAAATTCTTTTAACTGAAAAAGAAAACGAGTTTAACCAGAACAAGTCAATTAATATCGATATATAAATACATATGTAGATCTCTAGCCGAAAAAAAGTTGACTTAAACTTGATCGCGTCTTGGCAACCGCAAGTGCAATAAAGCCCGGCCGAAGATTTTTGTAAATGTATATTATGTATAGGTACCCCCATAAAATACTTCTTTCTGTTCTTTTTTTAGGAATTTCCACTGACTGGCAATGCCGTGTGATGACCTTGCGGTGCCGTTGTTAATGCACAGAGAAAAAAATTACTGCATTGTTGAGATTTTTCTGTTTTGTGTTGGTTATTTATTTTATTCAGGATCAATAGTACTTTTTAAGAGATTAAATGGTTTTGTTATCTGTTCCAAAAAGAATTCTTTTAGATATTAGATATATTTACAGTTTAGGGAATTTTCAAAATATACTCTCGTTTGTATATTTTGCTTCTGAAAGTATACAAAATATTTAGTTGAGTGTCTCGACTGTCAAATACCCGTTACACAGCTAATCTATTGAACTTATTAACTTATTATTATTGGTCAAATTTAAACCATTTTTTGACGCGCCGATAGATATTTTTGAGTAAATTATTGCATTGAAAAAAATATTTGGCGCCCAACGTTTGTGATTTGTGTCATTCGGCAGAAGCAAACAATGGTAAGTGTTAACTATCTCTCTTTGAAAGCTAGGTCAGTATTTATTAACAAAACCAAATAGCATTTTCAGTGCGAGACAGATTTTAGGCGTTATGGGTGTTGGTGAGCGTTAATGATGACGACAAAGAAAACATTTAAACATTTGTTCTAGCATTTGTGGGCATTACGGTGGGCGTGGCATATCGACGTAAAAACTTCAAGAACGCTATAAGGCGGTGATCAGATGGGACGTTTTTGAGGTTTGGGGCCTTGTTAGTAAGAGAATTAATTAATTATTTCCATAAATAGTAGTGAGAAATATAACCAACTCAAGATTGGGCTTCAAAAATATTTTGCACTAACAAAATCTAAAATATTTTAGACTTGTTACATTTTTTACTGAGGCTCAAAAACGAAAAAGTTCACTTTTTCTCTAAGTGTTTTTGAATGATTTTTTTGTAATTTGGAAGAATTTATTATATTTCTGCGTGCAAAGAGAGAGCACGATACCATATGGGTTAACAGGCATTGTAATGTTAATCCGTATCTGTACATCTGTAATTGCTTCAATTGTATATTCGACTTTATTAATGGGATCGGTCATATGTGGGATTAAGGATCGTACTAGCTACATTATTAGTAGTTTTTAGTAGGCTAAATATAATAAGAGCTGCGAAAGGAAAATTACTCTTCAGTTTCAGCGGGGAAATGGATTTGTGAATCTGAATATTTGTTCATTCTACTGAAATAGAATCTCTCTCTAGAATCTGCATGCCAAAACCCAATTCTATGTTTTAATATTTTCGAGATCTCAGCATTAATACGGACGGACAGACGGGCATGACTACATCGTCTTAGCTAGTGATCATGATTGAGAATATGTATACTATACTTATAGGGTCGAAATCGTTTCCTTCTATGTTTTAAATACTTTCTGACGAATCTAATATACCCTTTTAATCGACGACGAGTAACGGGTATAATAAACCTATTGATCGTTGCGCCAACCCTTGATTATCGAATTAAGTTTTCATGTACAAAAAGTTTGATACCAAAACGTTGGTATGTTGAAAAGGTATTTGGGATTAATTTTATAAAACAGCTTAAATGTAAAACACAATTTGTTATACGGCCCTTGAACCGGAAACCTTTAACAAGTTTGTTGCATTTAGTTTAAAGATCAGATTTGTTATATAGCGGTTCTTTTCATTTTTTACATCTGCGTGCAAATTTAACTCGCGATTTAATGTTTGATTGGGGATTTCGTTATGTTAATCTGTAATTACCTTTCACAGTTTCCCAAATGCCCATTTAATATAAATGGAGGGTACGATCAGTAGGGAGGCAAAGATGTTTAAAATTTCGTTGATTCTCGTCATGGCCGTGTCCGGAACTCGAGCCGTGGATTACTTTCTGGAACTAGAGGAGCTATATTCGGAATGTACCAATGGCCCGGTTGGATCGGTACCCCTTGACGTAGCCTTTAACGTAGACAATTTTCGGTCTGTTATAGATGCCGATGGCGTTCACGTTTCGGGAAATGTGACAACCGTTTGGGATTTCGACCGCACCGATCGCCTTTCAGTAAATTCACTCCTCCTTAAACTTCCTCAAAATAGATCGTAAGCTCATACCGAATGTGTTTTCAGGGCAAGATAAATGTTTTCCGCTATAATCGCGGTACATGGGAACCAACATTATTCAACTTAGCCACGCATAAAGTGTGCAATGTGATTTTTGATAAGAATTCCTACTGGTACAAATGGTGGTTCCAATACATTGCAAACCAGGAGGAGATAAAAGAGAAGTGCATCATAATGAAGGATGTAGGTATAGTGACTTGCTGTTATTCCGTTAAAAGACTAATTTTAATTTCAGACTGTTTTGGTGCACAATCCTTTCGTTGTGAAGTTGGGTTTAGACAATATTTCCGGTCCGCCTCTTCAAGGACGATACAAGGCAGTGATCATATGGGAACTATTCGACCAGAATAACGTACGGAGACCGTTGTCAACGTGCTACGAGGTTAGAGGCCGTGTTGAGAGAAAATGAATTATAATTCATTTACACTCCTTTACGGAATAATGTTTCTGGTATAACACCAGTAAACATTGGGTGGGTTATGCACATTTTTTTTTTTTTTTTTGTATTTGCACGTAACAATTGGCCGGAATTGGACTGTTGTTGTACAGATCTGTAATCAAAATTATCAGTATTAATCGATGATTTGTATATAATTAAACTAAGTTAATAGAATTAATAAAACCTGCCCCTATCGTATAACGACGTTGTTTTGTACTCTGAAAGAGTTAAGAATCTTTTAGCGTGTATGGTTAACGGACATTGCAATGCTAATTCGTATTAACCAGTATTTCATAATCCATGATTTCTTGTCAGATAAAAATGTTCATATTTTGCTGAACTTTGTCATTGTCTTGAATTCGGGACGCAGACTGCATGGTGATCCTTGAACAGATATATTCGCTCGCACAGGCCAACTAGATCGATTATCCCTGGGTCATTTGTTGACTGATTTCGTTCCGAAGGATTTTACGAGTCCAGGAAATGAATCACCAATAACCTGTATTTAGCCCATCCTTATAAAAAATATTATACACAAACAGGTTGACCTTTTTTTTTACTTTTATTAACACCTTTTATTTTAGTCGCAACACAGCTAGCAACAGCTATAAGGTGTATTAATTAAGTTTAAACAGATCCAGTGTTTTAATATTTGAAGGTTCTTATTAAATTAAACCTACATATTACATTTAATATGATAATATTAAGATCTTCTTAGAAACCGGAACGTTTTCTTTCTGTGTGGTGATGCTGCTTCCGTGACGTCACTCTAGATGGTAACAATATTTCATAATCAGAGGAGTGTGGGTTTTTCACTACGTATTACCTGTTCTGCGGCATGGGGGCCTCGCGTCTCGCCAGATGATTCACTCTGGTATTTTTTGTTTGGTCCAAATCATATTTATTCCATCAAATAATGATGGGGCTTCTCCAAGGACTTCCCACTCGCTGGAACGCCTAAACAATTCTTGGACTTACGCCGGTCGTTTAAGTTGTTTATGGGCCTGGTCGGAACCAAAGTCTGGACCACAGCTCGTTTACATGGTTGATGGGAATGGGAATAAGAATGGGATGGGGATGCCAGCGAGTTGGCGTTTTCTTGGCCGCCTTGTTAACATGATGGGCAGCAGGCAGCAGTTGGCAGAAAGTGAAACTGAAATCGAAAACTATTTGCGAAAATAGAGCAATAAGTTGGTAAGGCATTGGGTCCAGCCAGTTCAGTCTGCTGCAGAGTCTACCACCGAGTCTCCTGCTGGATGGCCAAGATGCGTTGACCACGATAGCCGGACAAAGTTATTAAGGACTGGTGAGCGTGAGTCTGCCAACTCTTGGGGACAACGTGGCGCATTATTTTATTTCGGATTTAATGATGGCCCGAACAGAACCCTTGTAGCCGTCTGATTGGAACGACGACGTCCAACAAATTTGAGCCTGTCTTGTGGTCTATTGTCGTGTTTCTTACTGGATTTCTTGGGGGTGTTGCTGTTGTCTTTGGTTGTCTTTGTCGCTGATGTTGCTGCTGTCAGTTGCGTGTTGTGTTGTTGCTGCTGCTGATGTTGCTGTTGCTGCTGCTGGCGGGCTGATGACGTCGTCGACGGAGGCGTTGCCGCCCAATCACCAAAAGTGATCGCGATTGTGCCGCAAGTCAAAGGCCCCAAAAAGAAAACGACCAGCGATACATATGCTCCAACAGCTAACAAGGTTGGCAAACTAAGTTGAAGGTCAGCATGTATCATATGGGGGTATACGACACGTATATATACCTATATATATATATATATCTGTGCGAGTGTGACTGATCGGCGGGTCTCTGCATATCGATATCGGTCGCAGTTGCAGTCGCCGCAGCCGCTTTACATGTAATAAGTAACAAATGCCGCACGACATTCGACAGTTTTATGCCAAGACATTTGGGTGGGCGGGGGTGCCGGGTTCCGCCTTATCTTGGTAATTGAAGCAGTTGCTTTGTCCATAAATTCCCGGCCAACTACGTGGGCTGTCCAGCCGATGCGGCCGCTTTGGACTTGGCTTACGCAGAACTATGCAGCGCGTAATTAAAAGGCGACAAGGGGAATTCTAATGTGTGTATGACACTGGGTTCCTAAAATGGGAAGAATCAGTACCTTCCAGTTTTAATTGAACTCTTTTTTATTTACCAGTAGGTATTAACTGTAATAATTTAATACAAATAGAAAATAAGAAATAACTTAGTGTAACTTAAAGTTATAAGAATAATAGTAGCCCTTTTAAGAAGGTAAAAAAATCTATACATCTATATAAATCCTGTTATAGGATCGAAGAATTAGTTTAAAAGTAATTTAGGAAATAGTTTTTAAATATAAAACTGAGTATTTCATATATCATATTTATTAGATAACTGAGTATTTAATTTATTATATTTATTAGATAGCCATGGAAGGTAGCCAAGAACAAAGCAAACTTGTAAATTAAGATTTAACTTAACTGGGAATTTTAGTTATACATTTTAGTACTTGTTGTTTTTATTGAATGAAACACATATTGGAATAGAATATTCATTTAGCTACCCTACTCTTTTCTAGTCTTCGAATTCCCTTTGAAGTCTCTGTGCCATATGGGCCTAATGAAGGCTAAGTAAAGCCACGCTGGGCCAACCCGCTGGCAGGAAAAGGCCAACAAATCAAGCCCAGAACATTGACAACGACAGCCACTAATGACCAAGTCAAAGTCAAAGTCGGACTCAAAGTCAGAGACTGTCTAACATCAAACAAATGCAGTGATTCTTCGTGCCGGACCAGCTGCATGGAAATGGAAATGGAAATGGAAAATGGGAAATGACAGCGGGGGAAATGAAGATGGCTACTGCTGATGTGAAATTTACTTGCACTTAAGTGAAAACATTGATTGTCCTGGCATTGGCTTAATTAACCAACTGAAGCCGCCCCGCCGACATTGACAATGAAATGGAAAACTATCAGGGGCTATCGTGGCCTCCTGCTAATCCTCCTACGGTGGCTCCCCCAGAACACTTTCAGCGATGGAACTCGTTACCCATCCATACACATATAACCAGGCGAATCCGGCCATCCGCCTATCGTCACGCATGGATCGCAAATTTATTTGTCAATCAGGCAAAAGTATGAAGCCAGCCGGAGCATAAAATACACATAATTGCATTTGGCCTCCGCCTGCGCCTGCGCCCCATCTGCTCAGCTCCCAGGGATTACTGCCTCCGATAAGCCGTGTTCTTAACTCCCAGTCAAACGGCGACTCCAGCTCAACTTCAACCTTGCCTGTGAGTTTGAAATGCTCTCGTAATAAATTGAATTCACCTTTTGTGTCCGTTTGTGTTTGCTTTAAAATAACAACGGCAGAAACACAGCCCTTTACTTGATCCCTACACAAGGAAAAATAAAAAAACTTATAAAGAAAAATTATAATAATAATAATAATGACTGAACGTGTTTATACCTCTATACATTTTCAATAAAAGAGATAAAAAAATTTCAAACTGTTTTTAAAAACAGTACTATATTTTTTTAAGCATTTCATTCTAACAAATGATCTGCAATTATATATACTTAACATTATTTATGATCTTTAGGATCCCATTAATTATAAATATGCTATCTTTTCCGTTAGTTCGTATCTAAGGAATTTAAGATATAACATTCCTTTTCCTATCTTGGCTCCTATTTATCTTGTTTTATCTCAAGACCCCCTGTTTTCTTTCCGTATATCCCTAGCCCCAATCCAGACCAATCCCAATCCCATTTCCATTTCCATTTCCATGACCATCTACATCTACTGGCACTTCTAAGACCCACACACGCATGTAGCGCTGGCCAACAATTGGCATAAATATCACTTTGCTCCCTTGAGCGTGTGGCAGGAGGTAGAAGATAGCAGAATGAAGCTGGAAGTTGGCCAGATGGAGACCCACGTCCAAGTTCAGAACCCTTTGCCCAGCCCCAAAGTAGCTGCGGATGGAATGGAATGGTGGCGAGGAAACGGCAGCAGCGGCAGCTTGATAAATTTTATACAAGTTATTCTAACATTTTTACTATTCGCCGGCCGACACCCGAGCAGGGCTCTTGACCACTCCGTGATTGAGTTAACTTCATTTGCTTGACTTGGCCAAGACAAGACACGTGCTGCCTGCTTGGCCTTCCCTTCCCAACCCACAACCCGCCCATCCTTCCCGACCGTGGAATTTATTTTATGGCTCCTTAGCCAAACATGTCAGTTATGTTTGCGAAAGTACATATCATCAGAGGCACTGGACATGCGTGTAGGTTTCCAGCTAAGACCCAGCCTCCAAGGCGTCGCGGATCAGTGATGGTCAAAAAATGGGGTTTCATTTGATTAAATATCTCTAAAAAAATTTAATGAATTTTTAAAAACTTTAGGTAAAGTCGTGGTTTCAATATGTAAAATAAATTAAACTTCTAGGAACTCGAATAATATAATAATATAATATATTACAGTTTCCGAAATGTTAAGAAAGATTTTAAAACTTTAGAGATACATTTTTGAGAAATGTAGGAACAATAAGCAATACTTTTATACAATTGAAAAAATGTTAAACGAAAATCCATGTTATGGACTTTCGGTAGATCCTTAAAAGTAATATTTTCGCATCACTGACTAGAACGCAGTTAAAGAAAATCCCTAGAAACTAAAAAATAGAAGGGATCTAGGGGAAAAAGGGACTTAAAGGTGGACTGGATTTGTTGTGGAAGAGAAGGCGAATTCCGGGGCAAAGACACAACAAAAGCGGCGCGCTAACAAATTTATGGCAAATTTTTATAGTAAAATCTCGAAAGTGTCGAAATTGTACGAGAACGAGAAGCAAACTCGCGGCCTTCCCCCACCATTTTCCGTCGTCCCCCTCCTTTCGATCGTGGCTTTTCCTTCTGTGCCATGCCAATCGTGCCGCCCTGGGTTTTGTTGCATCGACATGGGGCCTTTGGTCGGCAGTTGGACCGCCTTGTACTCGATAATGTGGTAATTTAGGGCCCCACTGCACGCCTCCCATTTTAGTGGACCCCAACTATGTCCATGTGGCGGGGGCAATTGAATATCGCTGTTTGCCTGCGCTTTATTTAAGTATTTTTTTATTTTTTGGGGAACCCAGGAAGCTAGGGGGTTTTATTTGTATTTTATTTGATTAGGTATTCGTCAATGTTACAATAGAGACCATGTTATTTTTACCAACTTTG